CCCCATGTCCCCCGTGTCCCCACAGAACTTCTCTGGGTACGACGTGTGCAGCATCCTGCTGGGGACCTCCACGCTGCTCGTCTGGGTCGGGGTCATCCGATACCTCACCTTCTTCCAGAAGTACAACGTGAGTCACAGGGGTGTCACCCCCAGGGGACAGTGCCAGCGGACAGTGCCACCCGCCAGGGGACAGTGCCAGGGCTGGGGATGGCCTGGCAAGAGCTCAGGGTTGTCCCATGGCCGCTGCCTTTGTCCCCAGGGTCACAAGGGGGGACCTTGGGGTGTCACAGGTCCTCATCCTTGGGGTGTCACAGTCCCTGTCCCCTGATCCTGGGGTCTCACAGGTCCCTGTCCCCTCACCTTGGGGTCTCACAGGTCCCTGTCTCCTGATCCTGGGGTCTCAGGGTCCCTGTCCCCTGATCCTGGGGTCTCACAGGTCCCCATTCTTGGGGTGTCACAGTCCCTGTCCCCTGTCCCTGGGGTCTCCCAGGTCCCCATCCTCACCTTGGGGTCTCAGGGTCCCTGTCCCCTGTCCCTGGGGTCTCAGAGTCCCCATCCTTGTGGTGTCACAGTCCCTGTTCTGTCACCTTGGGGTCTCACAGGTCCCCATCCTTCCTCCCAGATCCTCATTGTCATGCTCCGGGTGGCCCTTCCTCCCCAGATCCTCATCACCCCCCTGCCCTTCCTCCCAGATCCTCATCATCATCTCCCCTGCCCTTCCTCATCATGTCCCCCCGTCCTTCCTCCCAGATCCTCATCATCTCCCCTGCCCTTCCTCCCGGATCCTCATCTTCCTCCCAGATCCTCATCATCATCTCCCCTGCCCTTCCTCCCGGATCCTCATCTTCCTCCCAGATCCTCATCATCATCTCCCCCTGCCCTTCCTGCCCAGATCCTCATCCTCTCCCCCTGCCCTTCCTCCCAGATCCTCATCTTCCTCCCAGATCCTCATCCTCTCCCCCTGCCCTTCCTCCCAGATCCTCATCGTCACTCTCCGGGTGGCCCTTCCCAACGTGATCCGTTTTTCCTGCTGCGTGGCCGTGATCTACCTGGGCTACTGCTTCTGTGGCTGGATCGTGCTGGGCCCCTACCACGTCAAGGTGGGCTCGGGGGGCTCTGGGGGGGCTCGGGGGGCTTTGGGAGGCTTTGGGGGGGCTTCACCCAAGTGCCTGTTCTCCCTCATCAACGGCGACCAGGGGTGACACGGGGTGACACAGGGGTGACATAGAGGGTGACACAGAGAGGTTTCAGGTGACACAGAGGTGACACAGAGGTGACATGGGGTGACACAGAGGTGACACAGAGAGGTTCCAGGTGACACAGGGTGACATAGAGGTGACACTGGTGTCACCCCATCCTTCTCCCAGTTCCGGTCTCTGTCCATGGTGTCCGAGTGCCTGTTCTCCCTCATCAATGGCAACCAGGGGTGACACAGGGTGACACAGAGAGACTCCAGGTGACACAGAGGTGACACAGAGGTGACACAGAGAGGTTCCAGGTGACACAGGGTGACACAGAGGGTGACACAGGGTGACACAGAGGTTCCAGGTGACACAAGGTGACACAGGGTGACACAGAGGTGACACAGAGAGGTTCCAGGTGACACAGGGTGACACAGAGGGTGACACAGAGGTGACACAGAGAGGTTCCAGGTGACACAGGGTGACACAGGGTGACACAGAGGTGACACAGAGAGGTTCCAGGTGACACGGGGTGACACAGGGTGACACACAGAGGTTCCAGGTGACACAGGGTGACACAGAGGTGACACAGAGAGGTTCCAGTTGACACAGGGTGACACAGAGGTGACACAGAGAGGTTCCAGGTGACACAGGGTGACACAGGGTGACACAGGGGTGACACAGGGTGACACACAGAGGTGACACTGCTGTCACCCTGTCCCGCAGTTCCGGTCTCTGTCCATGGTGTCCGAGTGCCTGTTCTCCCTCATCAACGGCGACGACATGTTCGTGACGTTTGCGGAGATGCAGCAGCACAGTCACCTGGTGTGGCTGTTCAGCCAGGTCTACCTGTACTCCTTCATCAGCCTCTTCATCTACATGGTGCTCAGCCTCTTCATCGCCCTCATCACCGGCTCCTACGAGACCATCAAGGTGCCAGGACGGGGGGAGGGATGGGATTGGGGGGTCACAGCCCCGGGGCTGCACCTGGGCCCTCACCTGGGTGTCACCTCACCTGGGTGGCACCTTCCCCTGGCCCCTCACCTGGGTGTCACCTCACCTGTGTGTCCCCTCACCTGTGTGTCCCTTTCCCTGTCCACTCACCTGTCTGTCCCCTCACCTGTGTGTCCCCTCACCTGTGTGGCACCTTCCCTGTCCCCTCACCTGGGTGTCCTCTCACCTGTGTGTCCCCTCACCTGTGTGGCACCTTCCCTGTCCCCTCACCTGGGTGTCCTCTCACCTGTGTGCCCCCTCACCTGTGTGGCACCTTTCCTGTCCCCTCACCTGTCCCCTCACCTGTGTCCCCTCACCTGTGTGTCCCCTCACCTGTGTCCCTCACCTGGGTGTCCCCTCACCTGTGTGTCACCTCACCTGGGTGTCCCCTTCCCTGTCCCCTCACCTGTCCCCTTCCATGTGTGGCTCCTCACCTGTTCCTTTCCCTGTCCCTTCACCTGGGTGTCCCCTTTCCTTGTCCCCTCACGTGTCTGTCCCCTCACCTGTCCCCTCATCTGGGTGTCCCCTCACCTGTCACCTTCCCTGTCCTCTCGCCTGTCCCTTGTCCCCAGCACCAGTGTGAGGGTGACCCCCTGGTGTCCCAGCTCCATCTCCTGACCTGTCCCCATGTCCCTTGTCCCCAGCACCAGTGTGAGGGTG